ATATGGACAAAATTGAAATTTATAGATTCCAAAACGTTATAAGATAAGAAGATGAGTAAAAGGAACCAATATTATAGTTCGTTATAAGTCTCTAAAAATGAGAGAAAAAAATTTATATGAGATGTAAAATTAAAATAATAATAAGGATGTAAAGGTGGCTACAACTTAGTGTTGCTAGTATGAACCAGTAATTTGTTAAAAAAGACAACTTACATTATCCATAATTGTAGAGGTTGCTACAGCTTAGTATTGCCAAAACCTGCAATTTTTATGAAAGTTAACTTCACCAAAAACATATTAATCCAAGCAATAGGTCACTGCAGCTTAGTATTGCCAAAACTTGTAAAGGTAGCAATACATAGCTTATTTTAATTCACCCAGTGAAACCAAACGAAGAAATCAATAGATGGCTCCTACATTATTGTTAGGAACCAAACATATCGATGGCTTAAGCTTTCTTGAATTTTATTGAACTAAAAGAGGTTGAAATGGAATTGCAAAAGTTATAAAGCTAATTCATATACCATGAATAAAAAATCACTTTCCGCCACCAAAAGTTAGAAAGCTAATTAATAAAAAATCACATAGATATGCAAATGCCAAACTAATAACCTACAAATTACTCTATCAATAAAACACATCAATTGTTTAGTACTTTGCTTCTAAGAATCTATTTAGTAAAATTAACAAATAACAAAAGATTTGAACATCTACACAATTTTAAAATAATAAAAATAATGAATAAGTCTAAACATCAAAAGAAAATATTAATGAATGTTACCATTTTAGATATGCCACATTACCCTAACCTGTCAAAGGGTGCAAATGAGTAGAAACATATGTACAACCAACAAATAGATATATACTTACGCACCTAAAGTGAACAAAGAGATAGAAAAATAAACAAAAAATATATATTTCATAAAGTCAAACTCCATATAACCAACAAATAATTTCATCAAAAATAATTCATCCACGAAGTAAGCTAAAACGTCTTAAAGATATAACTAAGCTAACATTTTTTTGACAAAAGATAGATATGATAAAGAAATATTTAAATGTATATAAGAAAATATTATGAGAATTGAATTATTAACCTTAAAAGTTCTAAAAATTTACTTTCCAAGATTTTTTGCATTTTGGGAGGGGGAAAAAAAAGTGTGGTTGAAGACTAAGTACTTGTTTTAGGTGTATCATGTACAGACAATAGTTCTGAATCGCACTTCCAAACACAATCAGACTCCAATCAAAATTGAGTAAATTCCTATAACAAAGCTAATTAATCCAAGAACTTGACAAATTTCAATGAAGCATCTTCTGAAACACATCTTATTACTATTTTTTTGTAATTATTCACTGGTGTTAATCAATACTGATGTGGAAACCAATACGGTGGATACAAACAATAGTGAAACCAATAAAGGGTTGTTTTACCATAGGAAACAAAACCAATAGAAATAAAGGGCTATTTTATTAGTGATTTTTTATTTTTTTTTCTCTAGGAGGTTACCTTTGATTAAATCAATCTAATGGTCTAAATTTTTACAAAGGGTGAGTGGGTTATTTTCAGCCCTTAGATTAAATCAATCTAATGGTCTAAACTTTGACAAAGGGACAAAAGTCCCATCTGGATTCAAAATCTGAGCTGTTTTGTTATATGGATTTTAACCAATTGATCAATCATCAGGAGTAAAGTTCCATCAATCAATCATTGAAACTAATTGATTAAGTATAAAAAATAAAAAATAAAAAATTGTAATTTGATTCTCTAAATTATTATGTAAATGGATTATTATGTAATTTGATTTTCCCACTTTCAACCCAATTTATAAAAAAATTTAACTGGAATATTAATTATGAAAAAGGTGTATATTTTAAGAGATTCCAAATAGGTGATAGTTATTGTCTTAGCATCTATAGATGCAAAAATAACTAAAAATTATTTAGTAGTGCATGCTTACCATCTTGAACATGCTCAGCACCTCTATATATGCGAATATAATAGATGAATAGTGATTCGGTAAAAGAATCAAAGACTTATGTTTCAAATACCAGGAAAAGTTAGTGTAATTTACCAGGATGATAAGAATCCCAATATAAGCATCACATACAACAGCATAAGAATCCCAATATAAGAATGATAAGAATCCCAATATAAAATGGTAGGCCATCACATGCAACAGTTTTTGATAAAATCCCAATATAAAATCCCCATGGGAAAAAAATGATAAAAGAATCGACAATTCAAGAAATGGGTATTGAAAAAAAATATCCCTTTATAGAGATGGACACCAGGTACGAACATCCATAAATGAATAGAGATGGCAACACAGTTCCAGATCTTGAATTTGCACAAACAAAATGATAAAAGAAAAAAAAGAAAAAAACAGGATGAATCAATAAATGAATAGAGAAATGGACCTGCAAATAGAACTGGTACAAACATCCATCCAAACAACCGTTATAGAGATGGAGACCAGCAAATTTGCTCTAAACGACCATTGTTTCTACCATCAACATTGTACCCATCTACAGTGGCTTTGTCAATTGCCTTGTTCATACAAATCCTCACTCTCCAGAATCTCCATCGGATCATGCTCTATCCATTTGCAGATTCACAAACAAAACAACAATAAAAAAATAGAGCAATCACAGAGAGAGATAGAGAGAGAGAGAGAGGGAGAGGGAGAGAGAGTTCTTCATACCCTGCTTGTGGATAGAACTGAGTGAACTCGACTTGGTGGTTCCTTGATTGACATTTCTATTCTTCTCTTCCTCCTTCGAAGAGTGTTATGTTGCGTCTCAAATTGGCCAAAAAAACAGAGCAAAACAGAGAGAGGGTGTGTTCAAAATTTGAAATGAGAAAGAAAGAGATGAGAGGAGTAAGTGTGTGAGGGAGAGACATTTTCAGCCCTTGGATTGAATCAATCTAAGGGTCCACATTTTGACAAAGGGACAAAAGTCCCATCAAAATTCAAAAACTATTGTGTCTTATTATATAGACTAGCGTGTGCCCGTGCCTGAAGGCACGGTGTAAATAATGTTAGAATTATAATAAAATTATAATCGTAACACTATTTAAATTTAAAATTAAAATGCAATTATAAAAATATATTTAATAGAGAAACACAGTGTCAAAACTAAGTCACTCTCTCACTTTGTTTTTCTATTTCTCTCTTTAAATTGAAAAACACCCAACACCAATGAGAGGATGTCAAAACACTGTACAGAGAGAGCGGGGGAGAGAGAGCCGATGTCAAAACACCCACCCAAACCATTAAGATCTCAGTGTATAAGCTAAAGAGAAATACAGTTTCAAAACTAACTCACTCTCTCACTCTGTTTTTCTATCTCTCTTCAAATTGAAGAACACCCAAGACCAATGAGAGGATGTCAAAACACTGTATAGAGAGAGTAAGGGAGAGAGTGCCGATGTCAAAACACCCAAACCATTAAGATCTGTGTATAAGCTAAAGAGAAATAGTAAACAAAGGGAAGGATGTTTTCAAAAATGGTAATATTGGTTTTTTGCAGCAGTGATATAAAATATCCAGTGCAAGAGGAACCACTAAATTCTTGAAAACGACTCCAAAAAGACAGTCTAATTTTAACTCAAACTTGCTAGATTTGTAATAGCGAGAGATTCATGCCATGCTTCACATTTGACTATGAATTGGAATTTCTAATTGTTCCAACTTAGCAAGGCTGTTTAGGAGTTTGCTAAACTATTGAAAGGGAAAGGGAGTTTTTCATGCCACAGTCAGGACAATGAAGTTACAATACTGACTCTTTACTTTCTCAAATTTGACTCTATAAAGTATGTACCAGAGTAAGGCCAAGGATTGGGCGAGTAGATGAGGTGCTCCCTTGCCAGGGGTGATGTTTGGGTTTGAGTCTTACCTGTTGCGTGATGCAACTTCCTAGGGTAATATTTACATTATGTAATGGTTATTATAGCATTTTCTGTCAAATTTTTAACAAAAATTATTTTTAAGATTAAATTTAAAAAAAAAAAACTTAAAATCTAAAAAATTAAAATAAAAAAATGATTAAACATAAATGAGTAAAGTATGATTTATCCAAATATATTTTTTGTTGTTTATTATTTAATTGGCAAAAATGGATGGTCATAATTCAATGGTCAAAAAAGGTTCCTTCCTCATTTATCTGATATCTTTCTATGTATTTTTTTCCACAATCCGTGTTCAATTTCCATGATCCATACTTCCCATACCAATTCCCATTGTTTTCAAAATAATATCATTATGGTGTAACTTACATTTTATTAATTTTAAATCAATTTCCATGATCCATACTTCCCATACCAATTCCATTGAAAATTGGATCACGCATTGTTTTCAAAATAATAACATCATTATTGTGTAACTTACATTTTATTAATTTTAAATATATATTGTACACTAAAATTTTGAAATATTTTCCAGATTAAAAATTCTAGATTTACACCATTTCCATTACCAAAAAATTATTACTAATTTAGAAGAGAATTATTCTTGAAAACAATATTCTGCACCAATTTGGCAAGCAGTAAGGTTGCCTTATCCAATATTTTTTTAAGGGTTAATTCTTTTACATTTAATTTGGATGTTTTAAAACATGACTGCCAACCTAATAGTTTTTAAGAATATTGAACTTAAACTTCCTTTATAAAACTTGGCAAAACAAAAAAAAATTCCTTTATAAAAGTTTGTTAATATTTTATAAAAAGAGAATGAAGTATTGACATATAACATTTACATAAAAAACCAAAATTTCGTCTATCTAATCCGTTTATCTAAATACACAATTGAATCATGACTGTTAAAATGTCCTAGTAGGACAATTGTCTCTAGGATAAATTCAAAAACCTTTCTTCCTTATTATATAGATTTACAGAGTTATATATGTTCTTTTACTGGTCAAGATGACAATCAAATTGCACGAAGGCCAAATGATGCCAGGGCCAGGAAATATCATTCTAGTAACAACAAAATCAAAGCAAAAAGATCATAAACTCACATGGCCTTCGGATTGGATACATCCAAGAGGTCTTTTGTATGGGGTTGCAGTTTAACATATGTCCCTTTTGGGAGAGTCATATTTTTCACTCACACAATGTCTCCTTCTTATAAGAGCAGATTCTCCATCATCTACAATGAAGCAATACATAGGGTGCATCAATGGAGAATAAATGCAAACAAAGACTCCTCAATGACACTGGTACACAGCAAAATACACCAAAACCACAAAACTTGTATACAAAAACACTACTGGTTGCCTACCCAGTAAGGCATATATATCATGCCTTCTTCTGCAATGAACTCAAGAACGCCACAATGAGAAATGCGCTCAGTAGCAGCATTGCGAAGTTCAAACAACATAGGATAATCAATATGAAGAGATGCTGCAGAATAGAGTCTTATATTAGCATTTTAGATGATAATAGGAAAAAATTTTGAATTAACCACAAAAGATAATAAGCCACCATAAAAAATTTCAAATAAATCAACTAACCAAGACGGTCAAGGGCTAAGGGAGGCATTATAACTGCAACAATATAGTGAAAAGATAAATAAATAAATAAAAATAAAATTAAAAAAAAATTAAGACATTTAGAAGGCTAATACATGCACACACAAGTGTTTAGAGTTTGATAACTTACTTTTATCACCATTTTCAATCTGTGGCTGCAGGATTGAAAAGAAACAAATAAATTAGAAATTCGAATATGAATATGAATAAGTAAAAGACAACAAACAATTACAGTCTTTTTCCCCCTTTCCACTGTTTTCCTTTTATATTTTTTATTTTCCATCTCCTTTTCCTTTTTTTTTTTTTTTTTTTGATGTGGGTGGACACGAAAATGAGTAAAGAAAGACATAAAGGCCTTCAAGGGAAATGAAAGAGCACATATGGTATCATCTTAATTGTTAGTTTTCTAGAATTCATTTACATTTACATTTGATTAAAGAGTGCCATGAATTTGGTTGAGGTCATAGAAAAGATGACAAAACATAAAACTGAAACAGTATAATGAATAAAATGAAATTAATTAAGTGAATCAAACAAACCAAAACAATTATCATGTTGAGGAAAGCTTTCCAACCTTATCAATAAAAGATGCAGGGTAACATCGATATGTTTGCTCAAATGATGTTCCATGATATCCATATCCATCAAAATACTGCAATGTGTCCCCACCAATGAAATGAAATGACAGTGATAATGATATAAACAACAACTACAATAATATAGTAATTGTAATAGTTATTAACTATTATTTTTATTTTTATTACAACATCTAATGAAATGAATTTAGACGGTGAACATAATTAAACAATATCTATATATATTGAAATAACTAAATATGCACTGATTTGGGTTGCAAAATATAGTAATTAAAAGTGAAGCAATGAATATAATTCAAACATGCCCATAAACAAATAGTTATCAAATGGAAATTTACAGTAAGGGAAATGTAATACATATGGAAGTTGTATACAGATTGTGCAAAAATCATAAAAGCATTAAACACAAAAGGACAGTTCTCTTTTTCATGCCAATCACAGTGGTTCCCCTCAAAGACCTGATAGACCTATCCTTACCCGTGGCCTTCCAATACCCAGCCAGAGTCGCTCTGTTCAATCGCTGCCCATTCTGATACTTGCGATCTTTAGGACAGAAAAAGAACCACACTTCATCGGTCGTCTTTATCGCCGATTTATCTGCAGAAAAATAGATCAAAGCAAACCCAAAATTAGGGCTTTTTAATCAAGTATATATCAATAATCAAAGCAAAAAACCCAAATTTTTAATTTTTTTAATTTTTTATGTGGGTAGTTTTACCAGGCAAATCCCAGGGTTCGCATTTGCAGACATCGATCTCTCGAATAACACTGACTTGCTTATCACCGCCATTGATCTTCAACTTCAGATAGTGATTGATGAGTTCTTCGTCAATAGGGCGAAATCGGTACCCAACCGGAAGAGACTCCTTCGCCAAAATTTTAGAGAGAGACATCGCTAGAGAGAGAAGATCTAAAAGAAAGGAAAAGTGGGTATGGATCGAAATGAGATTAAAAGAAAATTCAGTGGGGTTTCAAAGGCGTGGGGTTCGATCCGAGAGGGAGAAAAGATGAAGAGTTGCTGTCGGTGGAGTTCGGAGGCGGCGCAACGATGGAAGCGGAGCGGCAGTGGAAAGGTGGGGGAGGGAGAGGAAGAGAGAGAGAGATCTGAGAAGTTGGAGAGAGAGAGAGAGAGAGAGAGAGAGAGAAGTGCAAATAATGTCTGGGTTTGTCGTTCGTGGGTGGGTGGGACGCTGCAGAGAGAGCGAGAGAGGGATTGTGTTGGGCGGGAATGTGAAAATGTCACAAAGCATCTCAGCCTTTAAAGAATAAAAACAAATCATCTCAGCCATGGGATCAAAATGTATCTCACATATATTTTTATACATTTTCAAAAATCTTTCTCCCTTATTATATAGATTGTTTTGAATATATAATAAGTATGATATTATTATGCATAAATATAAAGAACCATTACAACTAGTTAGAATTTGAAATCAGTAGTTGACATTCATTCAAGACTTAGCCCCATAATATAAAATTTAAATATGCACCATGATCATGATCATAATAATAATAATAAATATAAAAAAAAAAATCATGATCATTTTCAGAAAATTTATTAGGTTCCTAGACTTTTCCTTTCATATGAATTAATTGTGTGATGTGTCTTGCTTTTCATTTAGTACTTGCTACTATTATTTGCTTTGGGTAAGAAGATGCCTTGTGTTAGATGAAATTGTATTGGTTTCTTGTTGAGGGGCTTCAATTAATCCCATCAATATCAAATCAAGACAATTAAATGGAAAAGGAGAATGTTTAGAATAAATAAAAATGTGGAAGTGTAAATATAAGGAAAAGCAAAATGGGTACAAGCAACCTATAAGTTAGCTAGGAAAGTGATGTTATTTTTAACTTGAAAGAATAGTAGAATGCTACTCTTTGAAGTGCTTTGGAAAATTGGTTAAAAGTTAATTTTTTGACTTTTTTAATTTATTTTGCCTTTTTATGAGTAAGTTATGTTAGAGGTGATGTGACTCAAAATGAATAAAAAGTTAGAAGGTGATTTTTTATCAATTTCTCAAAAGAGCACTCTATCTTCAAATAGAAACAATTTTAATAACGACCTTTTTTAGTTTTTTTGAACATCATAGCAACGTCATCATATACTCTTATGATTTTATTTGGGGAAGAGGATAAGGGTTGAGAATGAAATTTCGAATAACTTGATCTATCAAGTAATATTTTGAGAAAATTTCACTATGTAAAAGTCAAAATTTTGATATATATATATTGACTAATATTTAAAATCTTATATAGTCGTGCAAGGATACTCCTACCATTTGAACTGGCCATGGACTGTAATTTGAAGGGAGGTTTATTTATAAATCTCATGTATTAGACTTAGGTCTCGTTTGGGAATAAGTTATTTTAAGAATTTTTTAATTTTTTAATTAAAATATGAAATAAAAAAATTAATATATTTGAAATGACTTTTAAATTTTTTACGAAAAGATGTACAAAAAGTATAGAGAAAAGAAAATATTTGACTTTTTAATATAGGTTATTAGATTTTTATTTTATTTTATAATTTTTTGACTTTTAAGCTAAAATATTATTGTCAAACGAGTCCATAAAGTTTTTAATGTTTTATCAAGTTCTATATGGCTTCGTTTGGGAATCCCAACTTGGGGCTTTTTTTGGTTATTTTAGCCACAAAAAATAAAATAAGCTTTTTAATCCAATAAAACAAAATATCACATTCAACCCATAATCATTACCTTATTTCTCTCACAAAAAATTCAAAAAATCCAAAAAAGTCAAAAGCCCTTCCCAAACCAGGCTTTTTAGCTCCAGGCTAAAATAGTCAAAAAAGTCAAAAAATCAATCCACTTCCCAAACGAACCCTATTTAAACTTATATTTTAATATATCATTTTTCCCATATTAGAATTATTATGTGGACTATTTTATCTTTATAGGCTTTTATTATAATATATATATATATATATATATTATACCATATATGTAGGAGAGAAACAGGAAAAAAGGGATTAAGCGACGTTTTTTTAACGACGTATTTTTAAACGTCACTTTTTTTAATATTTAACGAATTTTTATAAAACGTCGCATATTTATTTAATAAAACGACACCGTTTCCAAATGCGTTGTGCCTCACGCGCTTGGTCTCCCCATCTGAGGCTCACCTAAGACCCAAATCTCGAGTGCTCTCTCTCTCTCTCAGAGCGATTTCAAAGCTCCACTGTTTATTCATTCTTAGAGCGAGCGAGGTAGCGAGCACCAATGAAGGTGAGCTCCATTGTCTCTCTTTCTCTCTCTCTCTCAACCCTCTCTAAACCCTCATTAGAGCGATTCAGAGATTCATCTCAGTGATTTCATCGCAGAGATTCAGAGATTCAGAGCGATTTCATCTCAGTGATTTCATCGCAGAGATTCAGATCGGTCTCTACCATCTGCACCATCGTCTACTAAGGTAAGCTTCACCATCTCTCTCTCTCTCTGAAGCTCTTCCATCCCGTCTCTCTCTCTCTCTCTCTCTCTCTCTCTCTGTTTCAGTGATTGATGATATCTGGTCGCTCGAGCGACCAGGTCTTCGCTCGAGCGAGTCTATCGTATTTTAGTAGGCAGCAGCGGGGAAAAAGATCATTTTTTCTCCCTCTTTCATTCTTGAAACCCTAGCAGCCGAGAGTCTCTCTGTCTAAACTTATTACCTCTCTAGATTTCATCTCCTTCTAGTATGAATCCATTCTAGGTCCTTTGTTAAAAAGGTAGAGGGTGTCGAGGGCTTCGTCTTAATCGGAAAAATTGTGGATTTGGAGCACTTTGATTTCGGGTCATCATCTCCTTTTGAGTTCTCCTTTGAGGTAGGGATTCTCCTTGTTCTTTTTCAATACTACGTCTATAGATAGACATGTGGTAATTTTTGTATTGCATGAAAACCATTTTATGTTGGATTTTTGTATAAATTCATGAGGTTGAACTTTGGGTTAGTTGTTGGATTTAGATCTATTATCATTAGATGTGTTTTGGGGCTAATTGGGTGTTAATTAGCATGTTGTTGTTGTAAGGAGAGAAAACCCTAATATTTATTTGGTTTAATAACTCAATAGAGAGGTTTTGATCATTGGGTAAATACTTGGGTATTTTGGGTTTTGAATGAAGCCATTGTTGTTTGTTGTAGATGATTGAACCTTTTTATCAATATTGGGAGAAAGGGAAGGAAATCCTATTTCAGTGATTATGATTTAATTTGTATAATTAAATTGGAATGGCTTGGAGATGAATGTAGTAGATTAAAATGAGCTTTGGCTTTATTGTCCTTGGATTTGATTTTGTGAAAAACAAAAGGATTAAAACCGGTTTTGAAAAATAAAGAGAGTTGGTTTTGTGAAATGGGAAAGGTACTTTGAAATGAGTATGAATGTTGGATTGTCGTATCTTATACTACTATGTTAGTATTAGTGATAAGTTGATGATCTCATGATATTTGAGTCTGTTAATAGATGTACAATATACATGCATCTAGAGGTTTTGTCCTTGGTCATCGGTGGAGGATGACATGGTTGTGTTGAATTGTTGTGGATACATTACACCTATGTGTTTATCTACTTTAACTCGTTGTTAGATTCTTGTTGGTTATATATATGCATTATACATGTTGGATATGCCTTGTTGCATGGTTGCTGTTGGCGTTATATGCCGCACTTATAATCAAAGGTACCGTTACCTTCCAGCTAGCGCCTGGAGAACTGTATGCGCTAATAATAGAAGGAACCATACCCTTCCAGCTAGCGCCTGGTAAACTGGTATGTTGTTGTGAAGAATTGAATAGAAAAGGAAATATGCGCATAGCTAGTAGAGCGAAGTTGGTTGTAGTTATTTCAGTATATATTTGGCTTACTAAGCGCATAGCTAGTTGAGCAAAGTGGAATTGTTGTGGTTTAGTTGGAACTGAAAATATCATAGATTTGATTGGTTCCAGTTCGGAGAACCGAGTTACTCCATTGATTGATTGTATACATGTGGGTGGGTTGTAAATTTATATTTTTACAAGGTTATGCATGTATAGGTATGATAGTAGTGGAAATGAACCAAAATTCTTTTTTTTGTCTTTTGGAAAGTGTGAAGGAGAATGAATGTTTTAACGATAAACATGTTTTGAAAAGGTACATCTGTGTATGTATAGGAAGTGGAAGAGAGTATCGGGCTTAGTGAGATTATTTTCCTAAGTAATTGTTAATGTTAAGAAAGAATGAGAATGGGGATTAATGAAAGGAATAAGGAAAGATGAATTGCTTATAGCGTTGAATGAAACGGTTGTTTTCAAGAAAAGTTTATATATATACATTTTGTATAAACTGTCATATTACTATTCTAGTACGAGAATGAGTGTGCATGATCATAGCTATCTGTAAGTTGTTATTGTTGAGGATCATGTTGAGATCCCTACTGGACTTTATGTTCATCCCACGTTGTTGAATCTTTTTCAGGTGTTTAGCAGGTTGTGCTACAAGATTTGGATCTCTTATTTGTTGGCCACGGGGCCTCTTTGTTGTTGGTGGAACACCATATGTGTAAAAGGGTTACACCCCTTCATTTGTTTATTTAAAGGTTGTAAGCCCATGGGCAATTTATTGAGTATGTTCATGTAACATTTTCTTTGCATACGAATGAGAGTATTTATATTCATTTCTATGGATTGAATGTATGAGTTTATTTCCGCATGTTATCTCTGAAATTGAATTAAGTTAATGAATTTGGTAATGGCCAGCAGTAATAAAAAGTGGGGCGTGACAGATGAGCTGTATGTGCTCTGTTTCAGCAATTGTTTTTCACTGATAAGTTGTATATGCTTTGTTTCATTGTCTTTTCTTTGTTTGGTTGCTGAGAAAACTGGGAAAAAAATATGTTGTGTTTCATGGAAGAGATTCTTTCTTTTCGTTGTCTTTTCTTTGTTTTTCACTGATAAGTTGTGAGTGAGTGATGGCTGCTGCTTCTTCTTCTTCTTCTTCTTCTTCTTCTTCTTCTTCGGTGCTGTCGTCGTTGTCGCCGCCGGAGTATCCAGATTTGTATGGGAAGCGGAGGGAGCTTGCTAAGGTTCAGATATTGGAGAGAGAGAGATTACTTTTCTTGAGGTTAGCTTTTAATTCAAATTTATTTAGTAATTAATTTTTTATTTTGAATTTTGTTTTGTTTTGGCTGTTTTGTTGTTAAATTCATGTAAATATTGTTTTTACTCTTGATTGGGGTTGGATGGTGAATTGGAAATATGAGAAATTTTACCTTGAAAAACTAAAAATAATTAAAAGAAGATGAAAATAATTGAATTAGTGAGAGGGAAAAAATTATGGTGGAAAGTGGAAACACAATTAGAATTACGATTTGGTTGTTATATTAAAATGAAGAAATTGTTTTTGAATTAATGATATCAATTTGGGGATATTCTTGCTTGATACAACAGTTTCAAAAACCTCATCTTCAACCTGCTTCCCAGTGCTGTAAAGAGTACGTGATTGGTCTTGCAATTGTGTTGTATAGCATGCAGTTGATCTTTTTTTTCCCCTTTCTTTTTATGCCAGACAAATTCATCCATGCAATTTAAATATCTTGATTTTTTTTTTTTTTTGAAAAGGTTATATTTTATCTTAAGAATTATTGATGTTCAGTTACTAAACCTAAACTTGATTGGACTTCACAATTTGGTAGGGTTGCTGATTTCGTGGTGGCAAATTCAGATCCTTTCAGAAGTCAAAAGAAATCAGAATTCTGAATCTTATGTATGATGTTGCATTGCTTATTGAAACCTTAGGAAAATAAAATTCATGGAAGCAAACTGAACTAGTTGTCTTTGTCTAATTACTCTTACCTCAACTTGAATTTTTATTCTTGAAACTGGCTTCTCTTCAGATAACACAACAGCACATCATGACTTTTAATTCCTAGTTTTAAATTTTTATCTTTAGGACATCACATCTTGCACCTGCAGTAGGCTTATCTGTTGGTTTGCCATTATGCTGGTGATGTAAGTTTCTATTCTTTGTGTTATTATATGTCTTTATTTAATAGTTTATTCAGCTCCAGAATATACACTTTTGAAACAAAAAACATCGACCAGCACTTCAATTTATTTTTCAGGTCACCTATCAAACTGAATTTTTTCTGGACAAAAACAAAGATTATGTTATTGCTGAACATCAAGCACTCTTGAGTGCTTCCAAATGTTCGTTTGTGTCGGGTTTGTTTCCACTTTCATCTGAGGAGTCCTCTAAACAATCAAAGTTCTCTTCAATAGGTTCACGGTTCAAGGTCTGATGTTCTCTCTCTCTCTCTCTCTCTCTCTCTCTCTCTCAAATTATCTATTTCTTTTGTACAATAGCTTGACTCACGAAATTCTTGTTGTACTTTTTGCAGCAACAATTGCAACAATTTCTTGAAACTCTGAGTTCGACTGAGTCTCGTTATATTCACTGTGTGAAGGCCAATAATCTTCTTAAGCCAGCTATTTTTGAGAATAGTAATGTTCTACAACAACTGAGTTGTGGGTTAAGGAAGGGTAACTTTTACATGGTGTTGGAAACGAAGTTGGTTGCCTTCTTTTTTCATCCCCCTCATAACTCTTGTTGATAATGCTCGAGTCAGGATATTATATAAATCTTTGTTATTATTTTTGTTCCTGGTCCTTTTTTTGGTTAATTAAAGTTTGGCAAATAATTTTCATATTTTTTGGGTTTATTTATTTATTTTTCCCCTCTCTGTTCGCTAGTTTATTTTGGCTGGGTTCTTTTAGTATAATTTTATTTGATGATTTTTTATTGCTGGATGTGAACTTTGTTAAAAAAATTCTGTATTCATTTCTAATCAAGAATTGTTTTTTACTACCCACCTCAATCAGCTGCCTTAGAATTATTTTTTATGGAACATTGGTTTTTAACCTTACTGGAACTGCATGAAGGACTGATTTTTTTAAATTGTTTTATAGGACTTTCCTGCTAATTAAGTATAAGCACATGAACTTTGTTAAAATTGTGTATTTTGCTGCTTGATTACTGTTGGAACGCTAGCTTGTTGATAATGGCCAAATTTTTTAATTGAAATTGAAACCAAGTTGAAAATTTGGTAGTACAAAATTTTCATTTTGTAATGAAATGTTTCACAACTCTCTCTCTGTCTCTCTGTCTCTCTCTTGCAGATGATACTACCTGGTAATGGATTACTCTTAAGTCAATAACTTCCTACTGTTATTGCCAAAATAGAAAAAGAAAAAAAGAAAAACATCATGATGTGAACACAAATCCTGTAACATATTTTATAACGTAATGTCAACAAAATGCTTTTGGCTAATGTGAACACAAATCCGTTACCTTATTTTATAACATAATACCCATTTTACCCCCATTGTATTTTGCGTATTTATTAATGAAGGTAATATTTTGTCCCCTTCAAAATCTATGTAATTTTACTTTGGCCCCTCCAAAATCTAAATAATTTTGCCTTGGTCCCCTCTTTGTATTTTGTACACTGTTTACATATTGTGAACATGCTCATGCTGGACATATTTTTTCTAGTAGCTGTGATTTGTTTTGCTAGTATGCAATGCACACTTTCAGTGATAGGAGGTAACCTATTAAGTACTGTTATACTATCTCTTTGCCATTGGATACACCCTCTTGATATATAGTGTTGGCAAGAATAATTAGTTTATTGTCCTTTAACCTTGCGGTGATATATGACTAGCCAGTCATGATATATGTTCATGCTAGCCTTTTTTTTTTTACTATATTTTTTCCCTCTATTTCTCCTTCTACAATGACCACCATATTTTTTCTGTACATCATGCAGTGGCATTTCTTGTGAAGTGCAATTTGTAGATTCTAATATTTTTTTGGTTGGGGCTATGACTGAAAAAGATGATTTCTGATTTTGTTGATGCAGTTATGGATTATATTTCTATATTTTTACATATAGTGAACTTTGCTTGACATGGTGGCCAAAATATTTGGAATGGAACCCTTGGATATTGTTAACAGGATATCGTTTTTACTATTATGTGTAGTTTTCTTTATGATACGGTTAATTTGTCAATGTAAATTGATTTTCACTTCCCTCAAATTGGCAGGAAAGACTGGAGGATATTGAAAGGGACCAACGTGAATATACATTGGACGATGAGGACAGGAAGGTTCAAGATGTAATTCTTAAACCAGACCCCTCAAAAAATGACACTATGTGGTTGAAAAAAACTCTTTCTTGTTCCTACCCAAACTTGCCTTTTAATGTGGCACTCCAAAAAGAAAATGAAAAGCTTCAGTTAGAACCACAACGTTCACAAGCCAATTTGGATGTGGGTGAGTGTGAAGTAATTTAACATCTGCTTGATGTCACAGAGGCTGTTGCCGTAAATTCTGTATCTGAGAAGAGTTCACCCATGAGAAATTCCAAAAAGGTGGAGTAGAATTATTCGGATGTTAATAGTGAAAAGGAGCATTTATATGATGAAAGCTATACTAAGCAAAGTGAGACTCACTCAACTTCAAGGTTTGTTTTCTCTCCTTTTTTTTTGTTTTTGTTTGTTTGTTGTTGTAGAAGAGAGTGAAATCATTCCTTAAAATGCAGTTCGTGTTGGTGTCAAATGGCCTATATTGCCTCATTAATTTGAAATTTGTGCTTATCAGAAAACAGTTAATTTGTTTACTCTGTCATGTAATTCATTGAATCATCAACAAATTTTGACTAGTGGATTGCTTGAATTCATAACTCAGTTGCCTGATACGAGAATTTTCTGTTTAAATTCTTTGTAGAAACATTTCCTCAGTATCATCCGGACGTAATTTGCTGTCTATTAGAGGTTCAAATTGGGATGATAAATGGCATTCAGATTTGCTCAGCTGTTGTTCTGAACCTATTTTATGTATGTTATATGATTATATCACAGCACTTGTTATTCAACTGCATGATGCCAGAACAACATATTTTGTGTATATTCTAAATGAACATGTGTTGATTGGCTTATCAGATATAAATTTAAAGTCAGTTTCGTTTTCTATGTTCTACCTTTCTAGAGCAGAGAGGTAGGCTTGTGGAGTAACTTCTATTTGCCTACCTCTTTACTCTACATAGACTGATAATTAGGACATAGGATGTAAAGGGGGGATTTCTACTTATTTGTGTTTTCTTTTCCTTTTTGAGTCAATTCTTTATTGGTCTGGTACCCTTCACAAATTACAAATTATAAGATGCAAAGATTCTTTATTGGTCAGATTCAATGTGTGTAGAGGTAGTCAATTGTGTTAGATGTGTCTTTTCAGCTGAACTTTTTTAATTAGCTCATCGCTGACGTCTTGAAAGTATATAACTCATTGATTTTTTCCTTGTGCTGATTGCCGGACAACTTGCTTGGGAAGTTTACAAGAACATTAGGAGAGAAGCTTCTTGTCTGAGAATTCAGAGAGATTTTCGTATGCATCTTGCTAGGAAAGCTTATAAAGATGCTGTTTCTATTCAGGCTGGCATGCGTGGAATGGTTGCACGTGATGAGCTTCACTTCAGAAGGCAGATTGCTTTTTATGGAAAGCTTTCATTGTTGTATACTCTTAGACTACTTGACTACATGAATTGTGCATTTGGATGTATTAGTAAAACTCCAACAATTTCTTTTACACTAGCTTCTGTTCAACTGAGTTCTTTAAAATTACCATATTATAACCTTTTATAATAATGTTTTTCTTTTGCAGAGCAGTTCGAAAACTGTCTTTCAGAATCTCCAAATACTTCTTGATGGGTTTAAAATTAGTACAATTTCAAAAAAAAAATGAAAAAGGATATCACGACGTTTTTCAAAACGTTACTTAAACCTTGAATCTAATGGTCAGATTTTTTTAAAAAGATATGATGGCGTTTTAAAAACGTAAACGTCATTAAATATAACAGTGACGTCATGGTGATGTAGGACATTTGGCGGTGTTTTTAAAAACGCTGTCTATATTAATATAACGACGTTTTTAAAACGCCACAAAGTTATAGCAACCGCCGCAATTTTGATACTAAACGTCATAAAAAAGAATTAGTGATAGTTTTTACACCTATAGCGGCGTTTTTTAAACGTCACTAAATGCTGATTTTCTAGCAATGGAATATCAATTATTAGATATATTTTATTTATGGTATATATAAAACATTGTATATAGAATATAAAAGATTATTATTCATAATATTTTCTTTGCCTCAATGTACGGAATTCACTTAATTAAGGATCTTCTTTCACTATTATTTTGCATTAAGGTCCTGTCATGGAAGAATATTTAAAAGAAAATGTTAGTTGTAGATTGATTATAGATGATGATAGACTCGCAACAGAGATGATAGAAAACCGATGATGAACAATTTTTTTTTTGCCACGTTTACACATAAACCGTCGATTTGGGTAGCCACCAGTATTGCGTAGTATATTCACTAGTATTATACTGACTTTGATTATATATAGCTTTTTTCTAAAAAGATGCATCAATATATATCAACTATTTGATAATTTTTTATATATTGTTTGATATTTTTGTAGATTATTTGTTACCATACTTATTGTTTAAATAATCATTTTTTGTTGCCATTAAACAATCGGAATAGTCAATTTTTTTTTTTTTTTTTTTTTTTTCATGTTTTCATATTGTGGTGTGAATATTCATATTGGTATGAATTTAGTTTTTTTAAAGCTAGTTGCATGTTAATTGTAAATTGTGAACATTCACATTATATTTTGGTATGAGTTTTTTTTTTTAATTTGAAAGTTAGTTGTATATTTGTTATTTTTATTACTATACTTGTTGATTGAACAATCATTTTTGTTACCATTGAATAATCGAAATAGTTGATTTTCATTTTTTTTATAAATTTTGTTTTATGTTTTTACGTTGCAATGTAAATGTTCACATTTGGTATGAGATTATTTTTTTAAGGCTAATTGCATATTAATTGTAAATTGTAAACATTTACATTGTATTTTAGTATGAGTTTTGTTTTTTCGAAACTTAGTTATATATTTGTTGTTTTTGTTATTATTTTTATTGGTTGAACAATCATTTTTATTACCATTGAACTATTGAAATAGTTGATTTTACTTTTTCAATGTTGTTTTATGATTTCACATTGCAATTTATATATTTACATTGGTATGAGTTTATTTTTTTAAGGTTAGTTGTATGTTAATTGTAAATTGTGAATATTCACATTGTATTTTGGCATGAATTTTGTTTTTTCGAAAGTTTTGTATGTTTGTTATTTATTATGAACATTCACATTGTACTTTAGTATGTATTTTGTTTTTTCAAAAGTTAATTGTGTGTTTGT